CACTGTTTTTATAACACCAGAGGCCAACAGTTTAATCTAGTAACACGCTTAAATTCATGTAGTCTGGGCCCCATTTAAAAAAGCTCGTTAGTATACCACTCTCACCATGAGATTTTCAGTTCGTAATACCATCTTTTCCTAGTAAATAACGTCTACATTTTGCTTCTGAAGATGACCAGGAAAAGGTTGAAAGAAGCTAAGAATTAACGGAAGATTTTCAGACAGAAAGAAGACTGGACGCTACAGAAAAGACAGATTCTAGTTCAGATCAATCAATGTATAATAGTAACAGCACTTCAACTTATAAACTCATTTTAAGACTATTTTCAGAAGCAAAAGCAGTGCGTTAAAAACAGCAAAGATAAGGTCATTAGTCAAAATGAATCAGTGTATAATAGTAACAGCCCCGTCGCCCATAAATTCAAACAGAAGTAAGACTCAAGGGTACAGAAGCTAAAGCATCGTGAAAAAAAAACATAAGTTTAGGATATTAATCCAACTGAATCAATGTATAATAATTCTATGGTGCCAGAAATTCAGATAGAAAGAAAGTCGGTGAGTTTACCAAACAATATAAAACATAAATAAATCTGACCAATGTTTACCTATAACCTCCAGCATAAATCCAATGAATATTTACCTATAGACACCAGTATAAACACAATTAAAGTTTTCCTATAGACTCAAGTATAATCTGGAACAATGTTTCCTTCTATGTTCAAGTATAAACCCAACCACCGCTAACCTATAGACTCAAGTATAAATCCGTTTCAAGGCATAAACAAAAATACATTTTGATATTAAATAAACCATCAATGGTAGATAAGGAGTAGAATCCATTGTCCCAATCCAACTACATTTTCTTGTTTTCAAGACGATTTTTGGTCGGTACAATAAAGCTTATGCCAAGGCATTTGTATTCACCATCTGTAAACAGACTCCAGTATAAACTCAATAAATGATTATCTATAGACTCAAGTATAAACCCGACCAATTCTTCCCTGTAGATTCAAGTATAAAGACGACCAATGTTTACTTATAAACTCAAGTATAAACCTAACCAATATTTATATTTAGACTCACATATAAACACGGTTAAATTTTCCCTGTAGACTTAACTATAAACATGATCCATGTTTAACTATGGACACAAATATAAATCCTACTAGTAATTACCTTCAGACTCAAGTATAAACTCACTCAATATTTACCTATAGACTCAAGTATAAACGCGACCAATGCTTCCCTCTAAGTTCGCGTACAAACACGGCTAATGTTTACTTATAATTTCAAGTATAAAACCAAACAATATATAGACTCACGTATAAATGCGATCAATGATTTCCTGTAGTCTCAACTATAAACTCTATCCATGTTTACCTTTAAAGTCAAGTATAAACCGAATCAATGTTTGCCTATGGACTACAGTATAAACGCCATCGATATCTACCAATATACTCTAGTATAAACCCAACCAATGTTTATCTATAGACTCCAGTAAAAACCCAACCAGTGTTTATCTATAGGCTCAACTGTAAGCCGAATCATTGTTTACCTATAGACTCCAGTATAAACCCAACCAGTGTTTATCTATAGACTCAAGTATAAATCGAATCAATGTTTACCTATAGACTTCAGTATAAATCCAATCGATGCCTACCTATATACTCCAGTATAAACCGAAATAATTTTTATCTATAGACTCCAGTATAAACCAAACCAATGTTTATCTATAGACTCCAGTATAAACCCAACCAGTGTTTATCTATAGAGTCAAGTATTAACCCAACCAATGTTTATCTATATACTCCAGTATAAACCCAACCAATGTTTATCTATAGACTCAAGTATAAAACCCACCAATGTTTATATATAGACTTAAGTATAAACCCGACCAATGCTTCCCTGTAGGTTCAAGTATAAACGCAACCAATGTTTATCTATAGACTCCAGTATAAATAAAAATAGATTTTCATAACAAATAACCGAACAATAATAGTTACGGAGTAGAATCCACTATCACAACCCAAATCATTTTCCTTGCTTCTTATATTCTATATGGGTGTTGTCTGATTCCACCGGCAATGGGATACTGAAAAGCTTAAGACATTTTGAAGGACATGGCGTTGATGACTTTTGTATCAGCACAATAAATCTTATGCCAAGGCCTTTGCGTTCAACATCTGCAAATGAATAAACCAAAGCTAAATATATTCCTTCACGATTAAGGTGTCAATTTATACGATTTCCTGTAAGGCGTTAAGAGTCAGTTCCTTAATGGAAAATCGATACATAGGAACAGAATAAAGATAGGTAAGAAGATATACAAAGCAGGATCAATTCATTAAGTCCGTCACCCGACACGCAGTTGTGAGCCGAATTTTGATCTGAAAGGTTTACTGTGTAATGGTCGACGTCATTAATATACCTCACTAGATTAATGCATTTTACAAGGCCGTACATTATGTCCAATAGTTAATATTTGTTGTACAATTTTTTTCAACATTAGACAAGGGTTTATTCAGTTCGGATTTTAAAAAAAAATCTTTATTCGTTAAGTCTAATGTATTATTTATTTCAATTTTATCATACAGGAAGTCTTGGTGAATCGATATCTGTCGTAATGGACACTTGAAACTGGTAAGCTGACATTCACCTTTCAAAGTCTGTAACTCTGATCCGCAAAATTCAATTTAAAGTAATTCCTTTCTACAGCGATATGTTTCTGCTTTATAACAGCCACAAAATTTTCACATTTAACTGAGAAATAATTAATATTTTACCCCTGTTTGTTGCCACTGATCTTGCTACTGGTCGTAAGAAGTTCATGACAAACTATTTCTGATGCTCTGGAAAGTGTAAAATATGAAAGACACCTCTACTGGAAATAGCTATGTGCAAGTGTCATAATGGTTATTGACAGGGAAAATAGAACTGGGAACAGAGTTCAAATAGTGATGTAGTTTGTTACATTCACTTTTACACTATGGCCTCAAAAAAGGAACGACTTCATCACTTCTCCCACAGACAGTGGGTAAATGATAGGTTAGTCTTTAGCCGTGACAAGACAACCAATATGGGAGAAGAAAAGCGCTGAATTCCAAACTGTGAAGAAAGCAATACGAAAACACGCCACAATTTCTCCTAAGAAATCATGGTAATACAAAGAATAGGAAGAGCCTTCACCGCCTATATCCTGATGGTATTAAAGTAAAATATTAAAAAAAAAGGAAGATCTATACTCGGAATAGAGAAGTAAATGCAGCGTAGCAGTTACAATCACGGAATGTAAAATAGGTGATTCAAGTTCAAATTGCGGCCTAGTCTGTTGCATTCATTTTCTCACTAAAACCACTAAGAAAAGAATAAAACCATCTCTTCTTCCACTACCAATGAGTAAATTAAGATAAAAAAAAAGAATACAGAAAACGAGACACCGAAATCCAACGGTATATCTGAATAACAAAAGTTGCCTTCCAAAAATTAAACAACGTATCAAGAGACAGAAAATTTATATTTTAAATAAGGAAACAAATGCTGAGCAACTATGTAATATAAGTCCTCCTATATGGCAATAAATGCAGGTGATGAAGAGAAGACTTGGGCCAACAGAAACAATGAAAAGAGTGCTGAACTACAATGTAATATCAATCCTCCTATATGGCAAAGATGGTGGACAATTTCCTCACAGATGAAGTGGAGACTTGAGGCAACAGAAACAATGAAAAGAGTGCTGAACTGCTATGTAATATCAATCCTTTTATATGGCAGTGAATGCTGGACAATTTCCTGACAGATGAAGAGACTTAAGGCAACACAAACAATGAAAAGAGTGCTGAACTGCTATGTAATATCAACCTCCTATATGGCAGTGAATGAGGGACAATTTCCTTCACAGAGGCAGAGAAGACTTGAGGCAACAGAAACAATGAAAAGAGTGCTGAAATGGTACGTAATATCAATCCTCTTATATGGCATTGAATGCTGAACAATCTCCTCACCGATGAAGAGAAGACTTCTAGCAATAGAAACAGTAAAAATTGTACTCAACGGAGATGTGGTTCTATAGAAGGATCCTAAGAATTACATGGATGCAACATTCGAGCAAAGATGAAGTTTCAGGAAAAATGGTGACAAAATGAACAATTATAGTTAGAATAAGATAGTTGAAATTTATGAAAGATATGATGAAAGAAGGTTTGGAAAATTTGACTTTTGCAGGATATATTGAAAGCAGGCGGGTCAGAGGGATGTAGGGACTGGAAGAGATAGTAAGGTGATAAACATTACTTTGAGCGACAAGGGAAATGAAGTTGTGGACAGCTATGATTGTTCACATACTGAAGGGATGACGTGAAATGAAATCGGATGCGAATGAATGTTATACAGTTAAGTATTTGTATAATATCTGCTGACAAGTTTCCGTAGCCTAATCGGTAAGTTATTATTTATCTTTAATCATCTTCCAAAGAGAAGGAATCAAAGTTCAAATCATGTTAGAAAGGAGACCTTTATTTCTGATTAATATTGATATTTAATGGTTGTAGAATGTAAAAACATCCTATGTGTTGCTATGAAAAGAAAAATAAATCAATAAAATAACGTTAACTTTATTAGGGCGACCAATCTAGGAGAAGGACAAGTACAGGAGTGCCACATTTTGCGCATTCTTGGCATCACACTTTCCACTGACATGAAGAGTAGTGATTATATTAAATCAATTGCTATAATTGATTGATTGTTTTTTTTATGGCTTATCAATCTTTTTGAGGTTATTTAAAGCCGAAATACACTTTTAGATTTTAAGAATGATTTGAAGATAATAATGACTTTCTGATACAAGTCGTATTATTTAACCCATAGATGAGAGAAGAAGAGGTGTATTCATAAATTTCCAAGGATATCTGCACCTAAGTGAATATAACGAACCCGTCTGGAATTCGAACTCGACTCTCCGACTTCTCATTCCGAGCCTTTATCCATTATACCACCCACACACTCAAACTCCCATTGGTCACCCATTTGGGTACTGACCAGGTTCAACGTAGCTTAATTTTGGTGATCGGACGAGAACAGGTGTTTCAACATGATATGACCGTAAGGCGAATCAATCTCTAGGTCTACTGCTAAGGGAGTTGGTTCACTGTGTCATACCAGACAATTTTTCTCGTCAGAATCCATCTGATGATCTTGCTGTACATTTCGAGATTCTTGACAAAAAACAAAGGACCCGTAACGCAAACGATCTTGACCTGGCATCTCGACTTCAGTCACCTTCTAACCAACGTGACGTGGCTTCCCTCTGTCTTTTCTACAAATATTTTCATGGCAACTGTTCTGACGAGCTCTTTTCTTTAGTGCTTTGACTGCATGTATTTAAGCGTGTTACTAGACTGGTAACTGGGTCTCGCTGTTTTACTACCTAACTATTTAGATGCAACCGTCAGTACAATTCTAATAGTTTCTTTTCTCGCCTTTCTCGCCTGTGGAACTCCCTTCGGATTTCTTGCTTCCCTGTCAACTACGATCTTTAAAAATTTAAGTGCAATGTCAGTCCTCATCTTCTCTCTTCCTGAATTATGTTCCTTTATTGTCCTTTCTTCACTCATTCTCTTTCACTGCTTACCCCTAAGTTGCGGTGGTATTATCACCTTGCTTGGAGTGAAATGATTAAAAAAATACTGAATTCCCAAATGTGGAGAAGACAAGAAACTACTCTACTTCTTTTCCAAGGAATCATGAGAATTAGAAATTGAGAAGAACTACTTTAAATAATGTATTAGAGAATTAAGGATCGTTATCTATTCTCCTTATCATATTCTTCACTTAATTCTACTTCCACAGGACAAATTAAAGGCAAGAGGGATGAAAGAAAAGAACGCATAACCTACCTAGAGAGCTTCAGTACATGGACAATGACGCTTTACTAGAAATAGGAACTAAAAGGACACCTATATTTAACATCAGGAAGAGAGAGTTGAACTTTCTAGGGCAAATAATGAAGAAAGAGGGCTTGGAAAAATTAATACTCACAGGACAGATTGAAAGCAAGTGAAAAACAACGCATAAGATAGCTCGCGAGCTTGATTAAATGGATATCGAAACATGGTTCAAAGGACAGGACATTGTGGAGAGCCATTTTTTATAACATGGCGTTATTGTAAATGTCTAAAAGAAATAAGTCGAACATAATTATCATTTGAAGCTACCAGACGCCATTACAAACGGGAGACTAGTGATCCGGGGCGAACCTTTACTGCGAATCTGATTGGTTAATAAGGGAGATAAAGAGGTTTGTATTTATTCATACATCTCAGCCATGATCGCTAACATCCTGAAGGGACACGGTACATAAAAGAAGAACTACTTGGGATAATCTATTAGAGATTTAAGGATCGTTGTCTATTCTCCTTATCCTTATAATCTTCACTTAATTCTACTTCCACGGGACAAACTAAAGACAAGAGTGACGGAAGAAAAGAACGCATAACCTTCCTAGAGCGCTTCAGTAAATGCACAACGAAGCTTTAGTAGAAATGGGAACTAACAGGACACCTATATTTAACATCAGGAAGAGACAGTTGAACTTTCTAGGTAACATAATAAGGAAAGAGGAGTTGGAAAATTTAATACTCACAGGACAAATTGAAGGGAGGAAGAACAGAATAAAACAACACATAATCTACTTAACTTTCACTTTGAGCTCTTGGGTCTTAGTGGTATTATCGGCTTGCTTGGGGGTGAAATGTTTTTTAAAAAAAATCTGAATTCACAACTGTGAAGACAGTTGGGATAACGGGAGATTCTCCCAGAAATCATGGCAGTTAGATATTGTCACAGGACAGATTAAAAGCAAGAGGGACAGAGGAAAACAACACATAACCGACCTAGCAAGTTTTAGTGAATGGATAACGGATCAAGAGCTGCAAAGAACAGGACATTGTGGAGAGCCATGATTGCCTACGTCCTGAAGAGACATGGCATATAGAAGAATCAGATTGTATAAATAGATGATGGAACAAGGTTTAAAAGAAACAAGAAAAAGACAAAATTTATTTCGAGTTGCAAGGACAAGAAATTGTGGAAAGCCACGATCCAAGTAGAAGAATTACTTGGCATAATCTCCGAAGAAATTAAGGAAAGAATGAGTACTTGTCTGTCAGCTGATTCTCTTATTTTCTTGTCTCTCATAAATGATTACGAATGAGTGGTGAACAACTGCAGATAACTCATAAATTAACTTAAAATTTAAACAGAAATCCAACGTTTTCACTACAATGAAAGTGTTAAAGAAAGACGAATTGACGATCAAATAACTCGTTCAGTTTCTTGTCAAAATCATTGACGTGGACTTACAGGAGATGACATCTTCCGCTCTACAGCCTCTTTCCCCGTAGACGCAAAGTTGCAACCCGATCGCTATTCCAATGGCAAATATTCAGAAGAGCTCCACCAGTTTAGACCATTAAAGCCAAGACACGCCTTGCTACTTCCACGAAGTTGAATCACCTAGATATCTTCTGTATTCCAATTGTAAGTTCTACTCAAACATCTCATCCCCCCCATCCCAGAACTGCTACTTTGCGGAACAAACTCCCACGTGGATGATTCCCTGAACACTACAATCTTAAACTCTTCGAGCCGAGGATCAATCGCTGCCTATCCTCCTTATCTTATCTCCCTTCTACTTCCAAAGGACAGATTAAAGGCAAGAGAGGCAGTGGAAAACAGCACATTACCTACCTAGCGAGGGTGATTATGATGGCGGAACTTGGTCTCAGAGTTATAAAAAAGGCAAAATTTATTAAGAGCTACAAATTACTAGAAATTGTAGAGAGTTGTAATCGCCAACGCCCCGAAAGACTTCCTCTTGCATTTATTTTACACACCACATTCAGTAATGCACTATTATGAGTGGATCTTGAGGATTCAATAAATAAATAAAAGTGAACTAAAATTACGTAAATTCCCTTCGCCTTTACATCAATCGACAAAAGATTTAGGTTCACACTCCTCCACTTTCGAACAGGAGTAGAGGATAATCCTTTGTTTCGTGTTTAGGATTGGATTTCCTGTTCTTTCAAAAGTCTAGGTCAATTCTGTACTCCTAAAATTTCCGACTGAGCCCTGAGAAATTACTTTCCTCCTTTTCCCAATAGTATGCAGGTTCGCCTATCGTTCGATTTACACTGCTCCCCGGTCTTTTACACAGTGGTAGGGGTTAATGCATTGTTTCGTGTTTAGGATTGGGTTTCCGGTTCCTTCTAAAGTCTACGTCAAGTCTGTACTCCTAACATCTCCGACTGAGGCCTGAAAAATTATTTTCTCCTACTCCAATAGGAGTAGACAGGTTTGCTCGTCATCCTGTTCACATGTCTCCCCAGTCTTTTGAACAGGAGTAGAGGTTTATTCCTTTTTTCCTGTTTAGGATTGGGTTTCCGGTTCCTTCTAAAATCTACATCAACTCTATACTCCTAACATTTCCGACTGAGCCGCGACAAATTATCTTCTTCCTTCCCAATAGGAGCAGACAGTTTCGCCTATCGTTCAATTTACACTACTCTCCGGTCTTTTGACAGGAGTAGAGGTTTATCCCTTGTTTACTCTTTAGGGTTGGATTTCCTTTTTCTTCTAAAGTCTACTTCGATACTATTCTTCCGAACTCTGAAATGTTATTCACTAATTAAATCCTGAGATCTTCATGCCTAGAAATAGCTGTTATTTTCCCGGCATAGCCCCAGAATCTTCGCTTCTTTCCCTTTCTTACGCACATACAAATTGCTCTTGGTGAACATTAGTAAAGAAATATGCACAAAAACTGAAGAGAATAATATATATATATATATATATATATATATATATATATATATGTGTGTGTGTGTGTGTGTGTGTGTGTGTGTGTGTGTGTGTGTTGTGTGTGTGTGTGTGTGTGTGTTAATAGGAGCAATTATATTCGCATTTCATCCGGTTCACACTCTTCCCCTGTCTTTTGAACAGGACTACAGATTTATTCATTGTTTCCTGCTTAGGATTAGGCTACCGATTCATTATAAAGTCTCTTGTGTTTTTCCAATCACAATATCCTGACCTCTTCAAATCTATAGTTAGCCATTATCTTTCCTGTATATCACTTGTCCTTTCTTACGCTCACACAAAACCAAACAGGAACACTCTACCTTGAATTGCTCTTGGGCCTTGTAATGGGTGAACATAAATTAAAACAAAAATGAAAAAAATATCGAATAGAACCTGTTCCTAATTCCATAAATAAAAGTTAGAACCGTTTATTAATTTCGTAGACAACCAGAAGAAAATCAGTTCCTAAAATAAATTTGAGTCCCACTGGATTCACAACAATTTTGTGTTTGTGTAACTTTATAGTAGAGAGATGACGTTAATGAGTCAAACGTTCCTTAAAGCTACAAGGAACAAGAAGCTATGGAGAGTCATCTTCGTCTACGTCTTGAAGGGTCATGGCATATAAAAAAGAACAAAAAGACAATTCATCCTGAAGATTAAAACTGACCGAAATATTTCTCAGGGTCTTAATTCTAAAGGTTTAACACGTAAGGGAGTCTATATTTTCGTAATCATTGGTAAACGATTCTGGTCATGTCAAGTGGTAGGCGTTAGTCATGTGCTGTCGTTTTCAAGAAGGGGCTCTGTTTCAAGTACCCCCCTCAAAAAAGCTTTCAGAATTCTGTCTCGTTTCTGCCTGCCGTGATGACGGTTGAAATTCGCTAAAGCAACAGTTTATATTTAATTGTTTTTTTGTTTTTTTAAAGTGTTTCACAAGAATCAAACTTATGACACTACGCCCCTCACATATGTGGAAAAGAAGCATTTAGGCAACTGCAGTGGTTAACGTGCTGCTTTCGTGAGCTTTTGAAATTGAGTTCGATTCTCACGCAGAGTTCGGGAGACGTCAATTTTCTGACATTCTCGGTAGACTGCCTTGATTGGATATCAAAAAAATGGCCTCTAGCAAGATTCTGACCATGCCTCATGTTTTGTTTTTGTTTTCGTTTTTTTGCAACCTGTTTTACATGGACGACGCTTTGACTATATGACGATAGAAACTTAACATCACTTGAAGTTAAA